GTGACCTTATCAGCGAGGAACATATCGAGTTGTACTTAAGGATGTGTTACCTAGCTGAAGTTCCTGTTAACCCTTGGGTGAGTGATTTCTTGATGTTGCTCTTGTAGATTGTTATGTATGTTTGAAAACTCTGATGTGTATTTATGATTTGGGTATGTGTGGTGTTAAAGATTTGTTAATAGAATATGGTAAATTTTTGAGTTTGAGTAAAATCTGAATGGGAACTGTGAAGACAAATGGTTCTAAGTATAGGTTTAATTCACATGAAGCAGTGTATTTTTTTTACATTTAATATGGCTTTAAGATTGAATGATAAGTAATAATAAGAAGGAAATATGGTTAATGTATAACCTTTCATGAACCACAGGACGTCCTTAGTCAACTAAAAATGCTGAAGTTGGAGCCAAACCGTGAAGTGCTAGAGCTTTTTATGCTGCTCTTTGGATGGCAGGGAGACTTAGGGGGAGCAACCAGCACCCTGGCCGTCATGAAGGAGCGAGACATTCCCATCACTGAGACCACATTTACCTCTCTCATTGTGGCCCATGGAGTCAATAAGTAAGTTGGCCCATAGGAAGATTTGAACTGCATCAGTAGTTGTAAGTTCATTTGTTAGTGTAAGGACTAGACAAGGGTCTTGTAAAGTGGAAATGATTTTTAATGAAGCAGTTATGTATGTCATAGGAGTTACAGATATTTTCATATTCAGTGTGATTGCCAGATTATTGTGCTTTAGCTACATGCTTGTTTCTGGTCTCTTAAATAAATGCAGGAGAAAACTAGATATTCTTTGCTAATACTTGAAGATTTACACCTTCCAGGGATCCACAGGGTATTCAGTCTGTCTTGGATACAATGAGGAGTGTGCAGATGTCACCCACCAGGATCACATATGAAGCACTCATGACAGCCTATGCCCTTTCTGGCTTGATCTCGGAGGTGAAGCGCACAGCTAGACAGATGAGACAGGAAAAAATAAATCTGTCTCAGAGCCAGCTATCAGCTGTACTTCTTAGCATTATCAAGAGTGACCAAGCTGGGACAGGATTTGAAAACATAGATTATGTAGGTGTGATGAGTCCTTATTCATATTCATGATTCTATTTGAGTGTATAATGCTTATGAAGTAAAGTTAAAAAAAGCATATGATGACAAATATGAGGTCTGTTTTTTTATTATTTTGTGAGATATGCCATAATTTCACCCAACCATAACATCTATATACGACTAGGAAGATATGATCCAAAATCTTTGTTTTAAGTACGAAGTCCAAAAGAACAACTAAGAAATATGAGTGAAAGGAATGATTGAGGATCCCACAATTAAAATGATGATGTTCTCTGTGAATATATTATAAGAACGAGTCTGATTTCTAGTTTATTATTACTTTTCTCCTTCAAAGATTGTAGAAATGATGGAGGAAGCTGAAGGCAAGATGGATTTGTCTAGACTTATGCTACAGTGTATCCATTCTGGTTATGTGAGGGAAGCTGTTCATCTTTTGCCCAAGCAGCCTCTGATAAGACAGAACAACCACTTGTATACTAATGCAATGGTTTATTTGCGAGAAATGGTTCATGCCAGAGTTGTAAGTAAATTTATATTCATTTTCATGTGTAGGCAATATTGATGCAACATATCAATAAATATATTAGTATTTCTATAATGTAATACAATAGTATTTGCATGACTTTTTTTTATTCTTCTTTTTTTAAGTATGAATATGTTCTTGTTAAAATTGGTGATATACTAGATTATCAGATTTAATAGCCTGTTTGAGAATCCATCTTTAAGGACTGACCACAGTTAGGACTGGTTTAGATTTTGCTGGCTTATGGCTAATAGTGAATTACTTTAACCCAGTGCCGACTGGAAAATATTGCATTCACTTTAGTATTATTTTGTTAAATGTTTCAGCACATAGATGGCTCTTCCAGTGCTTAGCCTCAAAGGAGTCAATTAGTAAATCTTATGACCACATTTTTCCTTGAAATAGCGGGAAAACTTTTTTTTTACTAATGCTTTCAATATTGACACTGTTATTTTTGTTCTAAACATTACAATTACTTTATTGTTATCGACATTACTAACAGCATTATTAAATGCTAGAAAATATTATCGAGAATCAAAGAGAAGGATAAACAGGTGGGACAGGTAGTTATTGTTATTGGCCCATTGATGACTTTGTGCTTGCGGAGCAATCTATATGTAAAAAACAATTACTAAATTAAACACACAGTGGGCATGGTATGTACACACATGCCATCCCCGGCAGCAAGTGGTTAAGTTTTCTACATACATGCAGGATATATTTTGGTGTAAATGTGCTGAAATGTAATATGGGACAAATGTAACTGGATTTCATTGACTATTTTCCATTATCAACAGGAACCAGACTTATTGGTGGAAATGTGTAATGATATACGAAGTCAAGAAATAAACCAGTACTCCCTAGAAGTTGCTCTGGAATGTGCTCTGGGAGAACACCGAGAGGAGTTGGCCTGGGCACTGATCAGAGCTCTGAAAACTGTGGGGAATCCCGTGAGACAGCATTATTTCTGGCCTCTTCTTCATTACAATGCTCTTACTAGCAATTCTTCAAGTAAGCTGAACATAACATGAATGCAATAAAGTTGAAAAAATCATAAGTCTCAGTGAAATGGAACACAATAAATTCTTAACTTTTTAAGGAAAAAAGTATTTCTCCTCTTCTGATGATAAAACCAAAATGAACCAATGTAGTTATGTTCTATTTCACCCCTTGTTACTTTGGGGGTTGGTCATCTAGTATCTTTAAGAATGTATATTTTCAGTGGTTGTGTTAACTTGGCTCTGCAAACTACATTGAATTTAGATTTGTACAAAGAGAGCAGTGATATTATTGAGAAGTAGAAATTTTCATACTGTCTTTCAGGAATATGTTTCTAAAATTTTCAGTACATCAAAGCAGTACATTGCTTGTTCTTAATACACATATCTGTTTCTACAAGTAATGCCTCAGAATCCAAATGCATTTAGATCAAAATAAAACCCTGAATGTTCTTTTGAATAAATGAGATAAATACAAAAAACTCTATCCAGATGTATTCCACAGAGTTGCTTGGGTGTGTCAAAGAAATGGTGAAATTGGATATTACACCAGACCTGGAGACTCTTCGTGATCACGTGATACCAGGTCTCATTATTAACCACCCTATGTTAACGCTAGAAATGCTTCAAGGAGCTGGCTTAACAATCTCTCAGGCAGCCACACCTATACTCATTATCCTCATTCAGAATAAGATGTTAGACCAGTGTTTTGAGTTTGGTAAGTTAGAATGTGCAGTATGTTTTTTCTTTCTTTCTTTTTTTAATAATTTGTAATAAATTTAGTGCAACTACTTAGTTGTATCTGAGATGACTTTCAATTTCTGAATTTCTGTTTCTCAGTATGAGATGTTGTGCCTTGAATATAACTTGGGCTATACAGAAATATAACAGTAGTAACCTGTAAAAGAAAAAGTCATTGTTAAACACAAATTCTAAAGGCAGTACAATTTTGCATGTTATCTTTTCCACACAAGTATTTTCAAAGGATCATGTTATCTCTAGAATATTTGAATGTAAATGTGAACGTTGTCATTCCCAGTTAGAGAAGTGAAGCTGTTATCCCTGCGAGACATCATTGCCCCGTTGGCATCAATCTGGGCAGTCAGTCCTCAAAGGGTTATATCTCTTTTGGGCATCCTAATAGATATGAATAGAGCAGTAAGTTTTGTCAAATGTAAAATTGTTCTTTATGAGGATTTCATTATGTTTTGTTATATTTATGTGTTTCATATTATTAATATTATGTAGGTTTCACATATGAGGTCAGACAAAGACAAATATCTTCGGTTTTCTGAATTTTGTTTCAGGGATTTTAAACATGAAGCTTCTTATCATAATTTTTTCTTTTTCCTTTTTCACTCCATTAGACTCTTAATGAGGGAGAGCTGGAGCCAGATTGGGGTGGGCAGTTTGTCTTAGACTTGTTGAATTCAAGAGCTGGGCTGAGTGTCAGTCAGATTCGCCCTCTATTTGGGGTAAGGTTGTGTAGAAATATTTTAATGTATATTTGCTTGGAATATATGAATCAGTAAAAATGAATGTAACCTCTTTGATACAAAATTATAATTTCACTATAGTTCACCAATTAATCTGCCTCTGCTTTCAGGAATTACACAAGCACAAGATCAAGATTTCTGAAAGTGCAATGGATATTTTGATGACCAGGGCCAACAAGGTAATCCAGCAAGCCATTCGGGACAATGTCAAACTTGTTTTTGATCCTTCTATAGGGCAGCCACCGAAGGAAGAAGAGTACAACCTCCTTCCGCATCCTGTGAGTGAGAAAATGAAAAGTTTTGTTTGAATGAATATTGCATAATTTAGCCTGTTAAAATTATGCTTGATTTTCTTTCTTTTTATGATTATATATTATTGTGTAAAGAGATTTTTTTTTTAGATAATTACCTTTTGTGATCCACTGAGTTATAAGTTAGATCATAATGGGAAAAGTGCTACATGCTTGTAAACTTCAGATATTATAGAAATTATAAGATGATGGATATATCAAACCCTAAAGTCTGAGGACACTGAATGTATTTGGACTTTTGATGTTTGATCTCAGTTGAGCATGGCCTCAAAGACTTGGGAAGAGTTTTACTACTTTTTTCTCACACTCTCTTTCCTGCCTTTTTCTCAATAAGTTGGAGGTAGAGAGTTTGAAAATGTAATTAAGGCTATGGTATTGCAATCTGTAGGAGTTAACAGTAGAGTGAAAGTAGTCTAATTATTTTCCAGTTGATTTGTCATCCATATTTTGTGGATTATGGCTCAGTGAATGACATTTTTATTATGTATTTATTTTTTTACAGAACAAAATGAATGTAGAGGAACTGGAGTGTCATCTTGTGGAGTTGCGTGCCAAAGGCCTGAATTCAAGAGGAACTTTGCGAAGACTGCTCCTCATGCATGCTTCGAATAACAATACTCAACGTGTTCTTGCACTCATTAAGGTAGTACTGTGAGCTATACTCTGAGTTGTGTATATAAAGATTAGTTGTTGTTTTTTGTGTGAAGAATCACTGCTGTCTGTGTCGGATGCATGTTGATAATTATTCATGATGATTTTATTCTTGACTGCTGGAATATGAGTAAGATTTAAGATTGGAGAAAAGCAGAAAGTCAATAGTCTTCAACTTCAAGAACAAAGTTGTTGTTTTCTAATGAATTGTACATATATTTATAAAAAAAAAAAGAGGATAGTAGTTAATGTGGAAGCACCTGAAGTGAATAGAGAAAACACTTTCCATAAAGTGTTAAGAGATTTGACACAAGGCAGATTTTTTCTTCTTCTTCAAGGAAGCAGAAGCAGATGAATTTAGTCTCAGTGGTGGCATGATGTCCAGTATCATGACTACTTTGGCTGACAATGGTAATGCAGACAGTGCTTTGGCTGTGTATAATGAACTGCAAACAAAATACCCCTCGTTTAACGTGGACGCTTATAAGGTTATTGATTTGTGCACACTCTTAGTGAAAAAGAAGAGAACAGAAGGTAGGTGATTGTGTAGTTGTGTGGTTATTAGACTGTGCTGATATTGATGATTCATAAATATCATTAAATTTTACCGGCTCTGGTTGCCACTCACTAATCCAGCAAACTTGGGATCTGGACAGTTGCTGGAGTAGTGGATCTTTCTTATCTATGAAATGTAGGGTAAAAATGACAACATAATGTCTATATTGCACTATGCTATTGATACCACTATATTTTCCAGTGGTATAAATCTGTCTGACTCTAAGTATTGATAGTCAACCGTTTAATGTTTTGCTCTTATTTGATTTATGTGCTAGTCTCTTAGGAGGTATATTAAGGGTAGAATGTAAATGAAGCAAGATAATATAGGATCCAAGAAGCCATCAGGCAAACTCTTAACTGCCAGATACTAGATTAGTGAAGGTCATCCACCACTATAATTTTTTGTTGGCTTCATCTTTGTTCATAAATGTATTAATATGAAACTCTTGCATTTTCTATATAGATAGTGTACAATATAAACGCAACTCTTAATGTTACCCAACATTGATTTCAGATGCAGTTGATATCCTGAATAAATATCTAGAAGACTCTTCAAAACCACATGCTAAAAAGGCTATCAAAAGAAATTGCTGGAATCTTTTAACGGCAGCAGCAGAAAATCAGGATCATAAATTTACAAAAAAGATATTTGATATTCTTCAGACAAATAATGTAATAGATATAGATACAGTTATAGCAGGACCATTGATAAAAGCAAGACTTAATAGGTAAGTAGAGTAAGTGGTAATCCTCTGCAAGTTAATGATGAAACATGTCTGAACTACAATGAATGAAATCCCTCTTATAGGCTTAATTAGGCCTAGTACTATCTTTATTATATTGAATTATGACTCGGTAGTATCTCTGCTAGAAAGCCAAACACACATTATATGTGCAAGGTTGACCAATAGTCCTAAAACATAATGCCATGAACCCTGTGGAAGTTAGTCTTTACTTTTGTATCTAACCCCTCTACATCTTCAATCAAATGATAAAAAAATATTCTTGAAGTAAATGTAAAAATTGAAAAAAGGGTGTGGCTTTATTATTATCTTTTTAATGGACAAAGGATTTTGTATAACATACACTCATATATAGCATCATAAAATACAGTGGTCTTTATTTTTTTCCTAGCTCATGCCCCCTGGAAATCATTTTTATCCCAAACTTTAGGCAACAATAATGGCAAAAGAAAAGGATGGTGCATATACAAAATTTTAGATGTATAGGAAAATAATGAGAGTAAAAATCAATTAGAATTCATTTGATAGCTCTTTCAGTTCCACATTGCAAAATTGTTATGCACTCATTATTATTAAGCAAATTTTCATGAATGTGTAGATGTTATTTTTTTGTCTTTATATATTTTTTTCTTTTATTTTATTTTCTTCTTTCTTTGTTTTTTTATATATATATATATACAGAGCTTTTTGCCACACAATTTAATTCCATGTTTAAGTCACATTGTTTGATATTTTTTAATTTATATTTTATTCTATAGAAAGAGATGTTAGAATATGTTTGTCTTTGCCATCATGCAGTGGAATGTCAGTGGCATATAAAACAAACAGAGAGAAGGACCACATGCAATTAATGGTAGTTTAGTTTGTTCATTATTGAAGATATTATCTTTTTTATCCCATCTTTCTTTGTTTTATCCTCTTGTGTAATTACATCCAGATTTTAAGCAGAGAAATATGTGTATATATTTGTGTTATGTTTTTTGTTGGTTTCTATTCCCATGTGAACCATTATTATCTGATGTATTAATTCAGATTAATTCATATAAGTATGACATAATTTTGTCATGTATGTTAGCAATACAAAGAGTAAATTGGTCTTACAGCCCAGTGTTCATTGAATTTCAGTGGTGATTTGGCAGGGGCAGTCAAAGAGGCTGAATCAGTCTTTAAACAGTACAAGTGTTTACCGATGAGAATTGAAATTCTCGTCCAGTTGATTCTCCATTCAAAGCAAGGTGGTACAAGGTATGTGATTTTTAGTATTATCTTTAAATAGGATGGTGCTTGGGTTTGTTGATGCAAATATTTTCCTTTTTCTTCTCTTTCTTCAATAGAAAAAAAGAAAAAAGTCTGTTCTTAGGCTGAAGTTAAATCACTTCACAGTCTTTTATTTGCTAGGTCAGTGTCAGTGATCTAGATGCTAAGTCATGGATGACCAGCATAGAGGCATTGTTGGTCAAAGGATATTTTATATATCATTAATGAATATTTGACTTTCCCCATAAGGCTTAAACCCAAAGAATGACTGAATTCTGTAAAAATCCTGATACCAGTTTTTTATTACCTCATGAATGAGAAGGAATATCTTTACAATACAAGAGATGTATTTAACTAGTTTCAAATATATCTTACTTAGCATATATATATATATATATATATATATATATATATATATATATATATATATATATATATATATATATATATATCATACCTTTTCTATGACAGTTTGTTTCAAAGGAAATGTTTGATTAATTAAATTTTTAAAGAATTTGGTAAAATATAGTAATTCCTCACATAGCATCATCATCATCATCTGCCGATGACAAGGGCACATAGCCATATCCACCCTTCATTTCCATCTCTTTGGGTCCCTCATGGCGAACTACCAGGCAGGGACTCAGCCCATCCCAAGCTCCTCTTGTTGCATGTGAAATATAGATTAAAATCATAATGTTCCATGTAAAGAGACAAAGCACAAAATCATCTCAATTCCACAGTGTCATCATTTAACTAAATTCTCAACTCCCATGCTTCCAGCTCGAAGGAACATGAGAAACTTCTGCAGTTCATGTTGGACATAATTGTCTTATCAAGGGGTTCTCTTCAAGCTCACCATGACCTGCTGTTTGCTTGTTTGGAAGCTGGACAACCATCTGATGCTAAGAAAGTGCTACAGGTATGCTAAATCAATTTGAGATTAGGAAGGAAGTAAAAGAAATTTGTAATATAGGTATCAATCATTATGGAAGGTTGTTTGTAGATTTGCTAGTTATACTTACATGAATGATAACTGACTTTTGATTTTGAATTACATTAATATTTCAAATGCACATGCACTCATTTTCTCACATTTACATACTTTTATCCTTAAAAGTAGACATATAATCAGATGATCATTATATATCAGTAGTATCACATAAAAGATAAAGAATAAAGGAAATTAGTCGCCAGAACCCCCAATTTAGTATCTTGATTTGCCAGTGGCAATTTTCCATCTTTCTGATATGGGAAGTATTCACTTGTAATTTTTTAATCATGAACTCTGAGAATTAATAATAAACATGACATCTCTTCTTGCTCCAGAACATGGGTAGAAATGTGGACATGAGATTAGTGGAACGCCAATGTGACAGATATGCCAAGACAGAAAAGGATGAACCTCTTTTGCATTTCCTTACGGCATGTCGAGGAACTAATACCATTGACCAGTACAAAATCTACAAAGCTCTCCTCAATCTGTACTGTAAGTATTGTCATGTTTATAAGCTTCAGAGGTGAAATCTATTATATCATTTTTTAATACTGTACTGAAAGTAATATTTGTAAATGGTAAGTACTAGATTAATTTATACCATGAAATTAGTCATTAAAACTGATAACATTACATAAGCATTAACAATTCAAGTAATTCCTCATTATCTACAAATCTGCAAACCCTGCAGTTAATGTTAACCTCTTTCAGAGAATGATAACTGACCAACTCTTACTTGCTGAAGATATCACCTGATTGGTCTGCCATGGTTTCCCACTCATCTTTATATGGCAGTATTGTCTAGCACAAATTATAAGCAAAATATTGCCTGATCATTCTTGCTGTGCTCTCAGTTTCTTCTAATGAAGAATGTTATCACTTATGCCAAACAATCATGTACAAAGGGAATGAAATTGATAACAAGATATGTTATTATAATTGTTGGTCCAGATCAAACTTGTACACAGGCACTATACACACCTCTCTTCTCAGGTGTACAAAAGTTATGAACACCAGAAATGATTTGTTAATCTCCCAAAGAAAGTGATTTTGTATTTCTAGTGTTCATCTCTTTTGTAAGGTTGAAAGATTAGGTATATCCAACACTTTTGCACTGGCTTGGCTTTGACCAAGGATCAGTTTTGCATTTAATCACACATGTGGTCTAATGTTATTATCAAAGATATGAGATCAAAGTTTTAATATTGAGTTTAATAAGAATTAAGAAATGGTATCTTGATAGTAGATTGCATTACATTATATCTTCATATGTGATTGTATTGTAATGTATTATCTTAACAGCTTACGTATCAGACCCAAAATAGATTGTAATATATATCCCAAAATAGATCATATTGTCCAGTACCCTAGTGATATCATCTGCCAACATTATCAGCA